AAATTTGACAATAACTTTGAAGCAAATAAATTCTTGGTCTATGTTTTAGAAACACTGGAATAAAGAGACAGTTGTCAATGCAGCAACTATGGTATTTGATGCACTTGAAACTACATGTTATTCAATTCTTTATTAATGGTCTCGTTGCTATTTTGTTCCAGAGTACTTGGATGGAATGGTCTTTAAATGGGCAATACCCAAAAACCAGATTTAGGTCATTCCTTGAACACTTTATTTTCATTATTGTAAAAGTGTTTAAGAATAACGGGTTTTATTGATAATATTATACATAACTACCATGTAAGAACTTTGATTCGCATTTTCATTCAAAATCACATAAACAAGACTGCGAAAAGGTAATACTGATTTAAAACGGGTCAGACACATGGTTTAGGTTCACGAGCTAAGACTGTCCATGTCCTATCATATTTAAACTACATTTGTATCTGTCTGTAACCACCTATTTTTATCTGAACGTCCTGGTGGCCAAATTTAGATATTTGCTAATGGCCAACTATGAATTAGTTACTTTATTTATTTCAAAAACAAATTACTTAAGGGGCAAAAGAAAACTATAGGGGCAATCATGCAAATTAATGAAATAAATGACTGACTCTCGGAAACCATACTTGAAATTGTTTTATTTGTGTAGACCATCTTCCATTATTAAATAAAAGGTATTTTGTTTCCTGCATAAGCAATATTGGATTGATAAAAATCTATTCTATTGCACTGATTTGATTTCAAAAGAAAAAAAAACGATGGCTCCATTTACATGTAATTGAATTGCTTTTAGCAAACCCCCAATGAGGGTTAACTTATTTTGCACCTTTACTGACATATCAAAATTTGTTTAGCAGGGGTTAATTTAGACAAGGTGATCAATTAAAAATATGTTTCTCCTGAGGATGGCCATCAAAGGTTGTTGCTAGGGGGAAAATAATTACTCTTTAACTGAAATATTAATGTACGTCTGCAAAGTACTGTGGCACTATTCAATATCTTAATTGCCCAATACACGCAACAAGCTCGCAGGGAATATACCGACATAATATCTATGTAAATAAAACAAATGTAATTCTTGATTTGCTTGCATTTCTGATCTGCATGTAAAAGGAAATTTCAATCATAAGTTTACACAAACTCTGACAATGATAAGTGTACATATGCATTTTTCATCTGCAAAATTATTAGTTACAGTAGCCAAAATAATGTTGGTTCACCATATTTTCGTATTATGTTGATTTCTTGATACTTTGTACAGACATATATTTTCATAATGTTCTCTATACCCAACAGTTTGATCGATTTTCAATTTCATATTAGTGGCCCTGTCAATAGCCATACGGTTCAATTCAATTTAATTAGTGAAACAAGTACTTCACCCGAGTCGATGACTAAATTGTTGTAATTCTTTAAAGAGCATGTTGGTATGTTGGTTTCAGGCACTCAAAAGTTGATTTGTTTGTGTTTTTTGTGTTATTTTTGTATGTCTACTATAAAAAGCAAGAAAAGTGAGCTATTAAAATTAATGTGACACTGAATGCATGTACGCCTATGACAGCACTAAAATGTTCTAATGAACATAAGTTTGCTGACTTGGTTAATTTGATATGAAATTGTATTCAGAATATTTATAAATACAATGTGTTTTCATTTTATTTTGTTTGGTCGGGTGCTGTTAATTTTTTTTCTGGGTCTTCAGAATCATTGAGTCCAATACTTATAATTGAAGGGATGGATTGGAAAACGCTTAATAAGGTGTAAGGGGCGTGAGAGATGTTGTACCTTCCATTTTATATCTCTCATTAACAGACTCAATAAAACCCAGCCTGCGAATTTCAATTGTTTGCTTTTCGTTTTCTTTGACATCAATGGATTTTCCCTCTTTTAGAATGTAACTTAAGCCACACAGTAAGCTCAAAGTACAAATGTACTTGTATTTATCACTTTTACTCTTAATCTGCTGAATTTCTTCGATGATCTCTTCCAGCTTCCATTTTTTGAACTCTCTCAAATCATAAAATCCTGTTATTATTTTGGGCTTTCATGAACAAAGAATGCAATAAGTACCGAGACATGACAATATCTAAAGTAACAAATGTCTTTTTGAAAAATATCAAATTTATTACAAAACTGTTCAGCTTGAAGTCAAGTAGACCCTTGCTTATTTAACAATTCAAATTTCTGCAAATATTTGTTCTTTTCTCTTCTTTCGTAAGTAGCTTTGATAGCGCGGTACTTTTGTCTCCCAGATACTGTCGATTTTGCACGAAAGCAAATACATTTAATTGTTTGGAAAGCATGCTATGTTACGTTTAATCAATACGTAATTACCGGATAAGAAAACATTACAAGATATAAATGTTCCCTACCAGAATTATTATTTCCCCGGTACGGGAATCAGATTGTGTGTTCATGGCATGTTAAAATGATGTAAAATCCTATGCACACAAACATTTCTCAATCAATTTGTTTTTATCTAAACTAAATTTTTTGTATGCCATTTTTGAGGGGGTTCGCTTGGTGCGAAAAGAAATCTTAAGAACACAATGCCAATGTTTGAGCTGCGATTTATTTTATTATCACCAGTACCATACGGTCCTAGCTATGCATGCAGTGTGGTGCAACGTGGTCTGTCAATTGGAGGATTGTACGTAGGCCTATGTTTGCGAAAATATGAAAATAATAGTAATAAAAAGTATGGTTTTGTCTTATATTAAATATAAGTCCATGATGATTCATGAAACAAGTATGTCATACAACAACAACAACAGCAATAATAATAATAATAATAATATTAATATTGTTTTACGAAGTTAAACTTCGTTCGCTCGAACTTGGATCGCTCGAATACCTCCCTTCGCTCGAACTGATTGCCCAGTCACGGCAAAATTCTTATATATTTCGTTTGTCGGAAAGGTGTGATTCTCATTTTATTTCTGCTGAAGGGACCAGAGATCAGGTTCGAGAATTCGAGCGATCTGTGTTCGAGCGATCCGAGGTAGAACAATGAATATTATATGGAAATTCTGCCGCGACTGGGCGATGAGTTCGAACGAAGGGAGGTATTTGAGCGAACGAAGTTTAACTGTAAATAATGAATCATAACTCCCCATTGGTATCAAACGCAAAATATAGACATGAGTAGCTGCGATGAAAAACTTATAAAGATAAAAAACAAAACAGTTATCATTTGTCAAGCGATCCGCACGAAAGTTCCTGCATGGACATAAGGTCATGTCATTTAATACTGATCAAAATCTCATTAAATGACAGTAAAATGTCCCCACACTTTGATATTTGGATTATCTGTCTACATTAAACACTTAGCTCTATCAAATATAGTTGATAATTTTCTTATATTTATGACTTAATTTTATTTTATCAAAGAGGGGATTTGCTACAACAATAAATCTTTGATGGGTGCTTTAGATAATACAGAGATAAGACATATTGCCTAATCATGAAAATTTATGTAAACAAATTAGAAAATGTACAAACCATATCAGCGCTCAAACAATGTAGTATCGGTAAAATTCTGATTGTTTCCCTTTGACAAAATTTAAGAAAGTTCCCCACGACTTGATTTATGTGTTTATTTTTATTTTTCGTTTGTTTGTTTTTTGTTGTTTTTTTTTTGTCATTTTTTTTTAATTTATTTAATTAATTTATTTATTTTTTTATTTTTTTTTATATTTTTTTTGATAACAAAAAAATGATAATCGAAGTCAATTCGAGTCCAATAACAGAATATGAAATAAATGATTAAGAAACTTCTGAAATAAAACAATCTATATTATATTTTAATATTTAACTACGTTAACTTAATATGCTTTGATAAATTTAAATTTAAATTGGTAAAACATAAAGCAACATGCCTTCAGATTTATTTTAATTTTTCATGAAAATTTGCGAAATGTATGAAAGTAGAATACTGTAAAGTGTACAAAGAAAGTTATTTACAAATTGCAAACGGCACTTAAAAAGTAATTAAATTACGAATAAGAGGTCAAATATGCAGATATAGCCCTTAATGCGTTATAGTCACGCAGTAGAAATAAGGTGATAATTACTGCAAAGTCAGTCATTAATTGCACATAATAATTATGTAAATTTAGTACTTAAATATTGAATCTTTTTTACTTTTCCTAAAATCTTATTACATTTTTCTCAAGTTTGATATTTTAGCTCATCTGGAGGCATACAGCTTTGAAATGTAAGAATACGACATTCTAGAGACAAATTTTCATGAACAAAATATGCACATCTTCAGTCAAACAAAAAGAATAAGTGTCAGATTGACAAGGGTCATGATTTAAAGCAAAAAGAAATAACAAACAAATCTTTCTCTTCTTTTGAATACAGGTTATTTAATCTTTAAACTGGTTGAAAAAATCAAGAAAACAATAGCAATGAAAAATACTTTTACAGGATTAGTTTACAATCCCTAATCTGTAGATATGTACGGGTAACGAATGACTTATGACGATAATATCTCTGAATGAAATTGATAGTTTATGAAAGGTCTTTGTATAATATCTGAAGTCTATATTTTTATTGATAAAAGGCAGTCAATCATTTTTTCATTTTGACCACACATAAGCTTATTAATAAAAAGTTTTGGTTGCACTCGTCTCCTAAAATAATCAACACTTTTTTGTAATTACCACTTCCTTTACTCTTATTGAAATGTAATTATGTAAATAATGAAGATCTTACAAAAAGTAATAGTATTTTCAGAAGTCGATCACTTGAAAAAGGAAACCATAAGAGGATTACGAAAAGTAGTCTCCATTATCCGCAAAATCTTGTATTCAATAGAACTTTGAAAGGAATTAAAAGCTTTCTGAAAAACAAAGTTTAACGCTCAAACTAAAATATTTCAGAAAAAATGGATGTTATATTATAGAACACTGTGTTGTACATAAGTGAGTTTTGATAGATAGATAGATAAATATATAATAACAATAAATTCACATTACTGGACTAACTTGTGTTTTAATATAGAAGAAATTACAATATTGCGAGGTTTAAGTAAGGCCTGAATTATATATAATATATTAAAATGGCCGACGGAGAAGATATTCTTGGGTCTCTTCCGCCTCCTAGAGTAAAATGGAAGGAACAAAAAATGGAAGATATAAAAGAGGCGACACTTGAAGGTTCACAATTTGAAGCACAGTTTCCGGAAGATAAACTTTCTGTTCAGCTTCCAATTGATTCTCCTAGACCCCAAACACCTAGATATCCTCGCCCGGCTTCTGGTGAATTGTCTGCAAAAAGTCGCCCATCGTCTGATGTACCGCATCCACCTAAAGTTCAACCGTCTTCCGATACACCATCTTTATCTAAAAGTCGACCTTCATCTGAGGTTCAGCCAAAAGAGAAAGTAAATAGACCAAAAACTACACTACGTCGAACTACGTCTGAAAAACATGTAAACGACGCTGACATAAATAGTCCTGTTATATCAAGAAAATCTACTCAGGAATTTCTTTCACCGTCTACTCCCCGTGAACACAATTCAACACCATCTAGAAAATTATCACTTGACAATCAAAAGCATTTCACAGTTGCACCAAATAAAAAGTCAGGAAATGTTCATAATGGCGTTCATTCTAATTCTCTATATAATAAAAATGGAAGTGTCTCTGACCGCTCTGAACCCAGCAGTCGTGTTAGTTCTCAACTTAGCTTTAATCAACGGTCAGACTCGGTCGGGCGAGTGTCCTCGCAATATGGGCATCAGAAAACTTTAAAAGGTGAAAATGGAAATAGAAGTGCCGTGAGATCGAGACCGTTTACTAGCACTGAGGTTGTGCAACTTAAGGGAAAGGTGATAGAAAATGGTTGGTAAGTTGATAAGTTTTATTAATCACGGTTTTAAATGTACCCCCATCCTTTTTGCTCACTCCTGCATCCTGTGCTCACTGGGGGCTAGCTTTCTGGTGGTCCTGTGTGCTGACTTGACTTAGGTGACGACTGTGTTATGTAAACATCCAGTTAAAGTTTTGAAAATAAAGTCAAAGCTTATTTCCAGTGTCACTGTTTCTGTTATAATTCAAAAAGGGTTATTTATAGAACTCGAAAGGATAATGAGGATCTTTTAATCTAAAACTTACAATACTTTAAACTATGAATTCATGTCTTGTCGTTTTGGTACACCTAGACAGAATCCAGTCTGAGAACAAAATGTAACAAAATCTCCATAATCTGTTTAACTTGAATCTGTATCTTCACTCATGTCTTCTTCAATGATCAGTTCTCTGTGAGTCTTTTCAATGTTGACTCTAACAATACTGTTATCTCACTCAACATTCATATGCATATATCAGTGTACACTCATCCCTATCATCTCTATCAAAAAGGTTCTCTCTAGATATACATCTATATGCACACTCACCCCCTATATACGTAGATTTGTGTACACCATATTTATCTGCACTGTTAACTTCAGATCTATGTATATATATTGATGTACATTCATCACTTATTTACACTCTTATACCAGACATGTAGATACCAATGTCTCTGCTTATACGTATATCTTTTTATTATACTGTTACACTGTCTGATATCTATAGATTTCTGTATACTTTCCTCTATCTACACTTAACATCCTCTATCTACACTCAACGACATAATCGATCAATCAGTTTTTTTTGTCTCTGTCTACATTCATACCGCTATCTTCCACTTTTTCTTCGGTGTTTTCATTGTCTCATAAGTAGTGATATCAATCTATCACTATACTTATCATTCTTATGAAATCATAAAATAATTAGTAAACATTGTTTTGCATTCATCATTGATTTATTATACCAGGAACGTATAATATACCTCCGTGTTTACATGTATATGTAATTCTGACTCTGACCATTTTGAGGAACATTCAAGTTCAAGAGAAGTGAGCAAACACACCACCACTGTTGATGTAATGTGTTACATTGTCAGTGAAATTTGTGTAATTATAGTATATTTCATTATCTTAATTCTGTTTTCGAAAATGTCAAGAAAACCAAATGCTAAATCTAGTTATTCGCATTTATCAGGTGTAATTTCTCGATCATCTGCAACACACGTCAAAAGTCGAATGAAAGAGTAGTTGGGCTGCCGTTGACAAAGATAACGAAGAAAGTTATCTATTTGGGTCAGCGTTTTCTTCAGACTTATGAATGCGAAATGGTCCTTTTAAAATTTACACAAGATATCCCTGCCATGTTTAAAGCATTTTGATGAATATTTTGGCAAATCCAATGTTTATTCTTGCCTTTGGTTAGTAAAAACTGCCATGTACCACCCAACACTTGTTTGTGTTAACAACTTCATTTATTTATGCCCTTAGCTTGACCGTATGAGACTTGACTTAATTACACTATAAATCTGCTGGAATTCTTATTTTTAATATTTTCTTTTTTAAAAAGTGAAATATAGCATGTGAAAAAGTAAAATGAACATTAAACAAAAACAAGTTGTGAATACATTTAACCAGTGAAAAAATATGAAGAGAAAAACGAGAAATGGTAAGGGAACCAGTAAGAATCGGATTGAATCGAGAATATCTGTGCCTTCAGACATTCCAACTGAGGACATTTCTGCGAAAATTCTTACCTCTATATCGAAAGCTGTTGAAAAACCATTTGTAAATGAATTGCATAGATGGATGGGACCTGATTCAGACAGAAGGAGTCTGACTTCCAGTCTCTCAGTTTCTATCTATTCTGACATAACATTTTTTGATGGAGAGTCTTTGAATGAGTTTGATCTAGATTTGGATGTTGATGTTGAACGAGATCAAACTAATGGGCAGTTTGTGTAAGTAGATGTAAGCCGATGAAATATATGGTCTTTCTTCTATTGTTGTAAACAGTTAGATTTTGTTTGCTTAACAGAGAAATAATTAATCGACAGTATTAACAAGTAGATCTATATAGATCTATTTAATCATGACTTTATGAGGTTGTATTTATAAATACTGCCTGGATCACTCCTTCAAGTATTTTGTGTACAGTGTAGGATGAAACTATTTTGTATAATAAATATATTTAGCAATAAAGCAGTTTTAAATATCATTTATGATTAACCTGTTCAAATCTTACTCATAATTTTGACTTTATATGGAGCTATTAAAAATGCAATATACTTCAGTAGGCTACTTCCGGTGACAATGATCGATTAAGTTAAGAATCTTGAACCTTCCAATCAAGTGACTCAGGAAAGTTTTACCAAAACAAGTTTTGAAATTAAATTGTTTTGCTTTTTACACAAACTATCGACCAAATCGATATGTCGATATCTTTCACTCGACGGAGAAAAGGGTAAAAATGAAGATGCATATTTATTGAACTAAATTTATCATGAATTGGCACCACAGCTTCAATCAAGTGTTGAATCCGATTAATTGTTTCGTCCTAAAATGATTAAAAATGAAATCAGAAAACATATGGCAATTCATCATCCATTTCCAATTATGACTGGATAGAACTTTAAGCCACGCTAGATGACTGCATCATTTGTCTAAAACACAAAACAGAAAAATGGGGGTGAACTGTCTCGATCAACTTTCATAAAAATAGGGTGATTAGTAACTGACTGAGGCTGTGAGGGTGATGTTTCAGCAAAATATGACTTGTGGGAGTGTCTGAGGGGTTTATTTTCTGTAAATCGTCATAAACAGTATTGCACCACTGACCAGTGAGGATTGTGCAGACTGGCAGGTAGAAAGAATCGCATAACAGCCTGTAATGTGTTAAAATAATATGATATTAGGCAAAGTCTATGAACAGTGAAGTTGGTTTAAAAAAAATGCTTCATTTTTGTTTTTAAATGTGTCATTCGGTATTTCATGCACCTCTTCAGTTTTCACTCGGAATACCTCGGCAATAATTATTAAGCTTAAAAGTTGCGACTGTTCCGTTATCGGAATACACCGCCCTGCCTTATTATCATTGAGTTACATTGAAAATGGCGGCGCCCAACAAGGAATGACACTGAAAATTTCACTGATAGGTATAGAAATTTTTTTTAATTGGTTTTTTAATTTATTTCCTTTTAAATATACACATGTAGTCTATAGCCAAGCAAGCCAAAGCCAGGGCCTGCTTGGCTGTCCCGGCCTTTGACTTCCCTGTATAACAAGTTATATATTGGACTAGTTGAATACGAACCCACATAGTACAACTTCTGGAATTGGAGTCCAATGCTTTACCCTTCATCATGCTTCATCTACTTAAGTTGGCTAAAGTTGTTGGATAATTATTTAAAGTACAGAACAGAGATCTCATCTCTAGTTTAATTTCTTGTAAAAAAAATACTAACAAATAGAATTGTTTCAGCTGATTTTATTATTCATATTTTCTTTTAACAACAAATTGAAGTGCAGGTGTTTATATCAACAATAATGGATTGATGACAACAAATTGAAGCTCTGGTGCCAGTGAGTTTTCCCATATAACATTTTGTGAAGGTATGGTTCAGTAATCAATCAGATCTAAAAGAATATGTATAGATAATCATACTAATCTTGCTGAGATGGTCTCATACAAAATACACACAGACATGCTTAGTTGTGTTTTATAGTGGTCCTTTATAATTTTGCTGGAAAGCAAAGCAAGAACTTTGGAAGATTTGAACAGATTAAAATTCTGATGACTTTTTAGTGAAATACGTTATTTGTGAAAAGATGACTGATAAAGAAATACTAAGATATACTATATATTATGACTGATACATGCAATTACCCAAAGAAAAACACTTAGACTTACTTTAGTTATGTTTTGAAATGGTAGCTATGATAGAAAATAAAAAACATCAATTGAAAGATTTGACTTATATCCCCCCTGTAAACTTTGTTTCAACTTTTATACAGGCTAATGTGATTTAAAATAATTTAGATAGATATGAGCTGCTCCAAGGCAGAACCAAAGCGTTTGCGACCAGCATGGATCCAGATTAGCCTGTGCATCTGCTGATCGCAAACGCATTACGTTGGTTTTGTCATTGTGCGGCTCATATATGCCTTTTTACATAGTATAATTCTTCATAGGCTAGAAATAAAATAATTTATGTTTAACCAGTATTGAATTTTCATTGCCTAAAGCTATCCCATAAATTCTTCATAATCATCCCTTTAAAAGTTTTAATTAAAAAAAGTAAGTGTCTCATTTTACCATTTTAGGACCTTCACCAAATACCAGTTGTGCTTGCATTTAAGATTTAGATCTGTCATTCTGTGATTCATTTCAACTTTTTTTTTGGAGGTTTTGTTTTCATTCCTAGCCTAATGAGCTATGACAGATCTTTTCTAAATATTCAATATTTTTGACATTATTTGTTGAATAAACATTTTGACCGTTCCTCCGCGCCCTATGTATTTTATGACTTTACGAAGGAAATCTTATATACTGTTCAACTTAGTGTATAGTCACTCAAGCAAATACAAGTCTGCATAATATTGTCAAAATTTTAAACAAAAATAGTATGCTTTTGTGTCGTTCTGTTACAATAAAAATACTGTTTTATAAACAATAAATTAAAGACATAGTGTACAGAAATAAGACAAATATTTAAAAATGGCTGGACTATTTATAAAAAGGAAAGAAGTTTTTGAGAGAGAAATTTGGATGTGATATATCCACATTGTAGGATATTATTTAAAAAATTGATATTTTTGTTAAATTAATTTGACTTGTACTAGATTCCAGTTGGTTTTGGAATTGATTTACAAAATTATAAAAAGGAAATAATGAAAGGTGACGGTAGCACAAAGGCCTCTAAGGAGAAGGTAGAAAAGAAAGTTAGGACTAAACTATCACCTAAAGCATACAGTATAAGAGATGATGAGAGCGAATCTA